CACAGTGCAGCAAATAGCACTCTATTCGGTCAAACGCAACCTGCTGAGCACAACGCGCTGAGTTTCAGCTCGATTGGTTCAATAGTTCGTGAGATATGACAAAATGTTGGAAAAAACTTATTCTTGCACAGTGCAGCAACTGGCACTCTATTCGGTCAAACGCAATCTGCTGAGCACAACGCGCTGAGTTTCAGCTTGATTGGGTCAATAGTTCGTGAGATATGACAAAATGTTGGAAAAAACTTATTTTTGCACATTGCAGCAAATAGTGCTATTCGGTCAAACGCAACCTGCTGAGCACAACGCGCTGAGTCTCAGCACGATTGCTTCAATAGTTCGTGAGATATGACGAAATGTTGGAAAAAACTTATTTTTGCACATTGCAGCAAATAGTGCTATCGGTCAAACGCAACCTGCTGAGCACAATGCGCTGAGTTTCAGCTCGATTGGTTCAATAGTTCGTGAGATATGACAAAATGTTGAAAAAAACTTATTTTTGCACATTGCAGCAAATAGTGCTATTCGGTCAAACGCAACCTGCTGAGCACAATGCGCTGAGTTTCAGCTCGATTGGTTCAATAGTTCGTGAGATATGACAAAATGTTGAAAAAAACTTATTTTTGCACATTGCAGCAAATAGTGCTATTCGGTCAAACGCAACCTGCTGAGCAAAACGCGCTGAGTTTCAGCTCGATTGGTTCAATAGTTCGTGAGATATGTCAAAATGTTGGAAAAAACTTATTTTTGCACAGTGCAGCAAATAGTGCTATTCGGTCAAACGTAACCTGCTGAGCACAACGCGCTGAGTTTCAGCTCGAATGGTTCAATAGTTCGTGAGATATGACAAAATGTTGGAAAAAACTTATTTTTGCACATTGCAGCAAATAGTGCTATTCGGTCAAACGTAACCTGCTGAGGACGCGTTGTCCTCAGCAGGTTACGTTTGACCGAATAGCACTATTTGCTGCAATGTGCAAAAATAAGTTTTTTCCAACATTTTGTCATATCTCACGAACTATTGACCCAATCGAGCTGAAACTCAGCGCGTTGCTGAGTTTCAGCTCGATTGGGTCAATAGTTCGTGAGATATGACAAAATGTTGGAAAAAATTTATTTTTGCACATTGCAGCAAATAGTGCTATTCGGTCAAACGCAACCTGCTGAGCACAACGCGCTGAGTTTCAGCTCGATTGGTTCAATAGTTCGTGAGATATGACAAAATGTTGGAAAAAATTTATTTTTGCACATTGCAGCAAATAGTTCTATTCGGTCAAACGCAACCTGCTGAGCACAACGCGCTGAATTTCAGCTCGATTGCTTCAATAGTTCGTGAGATATGACAAAATGTTGGAAAAAACTTATTTTTGCACATTGCAGCAAATAGTGCTATTCGGTCAAAGGCAACCTTCTGAGCACAACGCGCTTAGTTTCAGCTCCATTGCTTCAATATTTCGTGTGATATGACAAAATGTTGGAAAAAACTTATTTTTGCACATTGCAGCAAATAGTGCTATTCGGTCAAACGCAACCTGTTGAGCACAACGCGCTGAGTTTCAGCTCGATTGGTTCAATAGTTCGTGAGATATGACAAAATGTTGGAAAAAACTTATTTTTGCACATTGCAGCAAATAGTGCTATTCGGTCAAACGTAACCTGCTGAGCACAACGCGCTGAGTTTCAGCTCGATTGCTTCAATAGTTCGTGAGATATGAAAAAATGTTGGAAAAAACTTATTTTTGCACATTGCAGCAAATAGTGCTATTCGGTCAAACGCAACCTGCTGAGCACAAAGCGCTGAGTTTCAGCTCGATTGGTGCAATAGTTCGTGAGATATGACAAAAGTTGGAAAAAACTTATTTTTGCACATTGCAGCAAATAGTGCTATTCGGTCAAACGCAACCTGCTGAGTACAACGCGCTGAGTTTCAGCTCCATTGGTTCAATAGTTCGCGAGATATGACAAAATGTTAGAAAAAACTTATTTTTGCTCATTGCAGCAAATAGTGCTATTCGGTCAAACGCAACCTGCTGAGCACAACGCGCTGAGTTTCAGCTCGATTGGTTCAATAGTTCGTGAGATATGACAAAATGTTGGAAAAAACTTATTTTTGTACATTGCTGCAAATAGTGCTATTCGGTCAAACGCAACCCGCTGAGCACAACGCGCTGAGTTTCAGCTCGATTGGTTCAATAGTTCGTGAGATATGACGAAATGTTGGAAAAAACTTATTTTTGCACATTGCTGCAAATAGTGCTATTCGGTCAAACGCAACCTGCTGAGCACAACGCGCTGAGTTTCAGCTCGATTGGTTCAATAGTTCGTGAGATATGACAAAATGTTGGAAAAAACTTATTTTTGCACATTGCTGCAAATACATCTATTCGGTCAAACGGAACCTGCTGAGCACAACGCGCTGCGTAGCAGCTCGATTGGGTCAATAGTTCGTGAGATATGACAAAATGTTGGAAAAAACTTTTTTGCACATTGCTGCAAAGAGTTCTATTCGGTCAAATGCAACCTGCTGAGCCCAACGCGCTGAGTTTCAGCTCGATTGGTTCAATAGTTCGTGAGATATGACAAAATGTTGGAAAAAACTTATTTTTGCACATTGCTGCAAATAGTGCTATTCGGTCAAACGCAACCTGCTGAGCACAACGCGCTGAGTTTGAGTTCGATTGGTTCAATAGTTCGTGAGATATGACAAAATGTTGGAAAAAACTTATTTTTGCACATTGCAGCAAATAGTGCTATTCGGTCAAACGCAACCTGCTGTGCACAACGCGCTGAGTTTCAGCTCGATTGGTTCAAAAGTTCGTGATATGACAAAATGTTGGAAAAAATTTATTTTTGCACATTGCAGCAAATAGTGCTATTCGGTCAAACGCAACCTGCTGAGCACAACGCGCTGAATTTCAGCTCGATTGCTTCAATAGTTCGTGAGATATGACAAAATGTAGGAAAAAACTTATTTTTGCACATTGCAGCAAATAGTGCTATTCGGTCAAACGCAACCTGCTGAGCACAACGCGCTGAGTTTCAGCTCGATTGGTTCAATAGTTCGTGAGATATGACAAAATGTTGGAAAACTTATTTTTGCACATTGCAGCAAATAGTGCTATTCGGTCAAACGCAACCTGCTGAGCACAACGCGCCGCGTTTCAGCTCGATTGGTTCAATAGTTCGTGAGATATGACAAAATGTTGAAAAAACTTATTTTTGCACATTGCTGCAAATAGTGCTATTCGGTCAAACGCAATCTGCTGAGGAAAACGCGCTGAGTTTCAGCTCGATTGGTTCAACAGTTCGTGAGATATGACAAAAATGTTGGAAAAAACTTATTTTTGCACATTGCTGCAAATAGTGCTATTCGGTCAAACGCAACCTGCTGAGGACAACGCGCCGAGTTTCAGCTCGATTGGGTCAATAGTTCGTGAGATATGACAAAATGTTGGAAAAAACTTATTTTTGCACATTGCAGCAAATAGTGCCATTCGGTCAAACGCAACCTGCTGAGTACAACGCGCTGAGTTTCAGCTCGATTGGTTCAATAGTTCGTGAGATATGACAAAATGTTGGAAAAAACTTATTTTTGCACATTGCAGCAAATAGTGCTATTCGGTCAAACGCAACCTGCTGAGCACAACGCGCTGAGTTTCAGCTTGATTGGTTCAATAGTTCGTGAGAGATGACAAAATGTTGGAAAAAACTTATTTTTGCACATTGCAGCAAATAGTGCTATTCGGTCAAACGCAACCTGCTGAGCACAACGCGCTGAGTTTCAGCTCGATTGGTTCAATACTTCGTGAGATATGGCAAAATGTTGGAAAAACTTATTTTTGCACATTGCAGCAAATAGTGCTATCCGGTCAAACGCAACCTGCTGAGCACAACGCGCTGAGTTTCAGCTCGATTGGTTCAATAGTTCGTGAGATATGACAAAATGTTGGAAAAAACTTATTTTTGCACATTGTAGCAAATAGTGCTATTCGGTCAAACGCAACCTGCTGAGCACAACGCGCTGAGTTTCAGCTCGATTGGTTCAATAGTTCGTGAGATGTGACAAAATGTTGGAAAAAACTTATTTTTGCACATTGCAGCAAATAGTGCTATTCGGTCAAACGCAACCTGCTGAGCACAACGCGCTGAGTTTCAGTTCGATTGGTCCAAAAGTTCGTGAGATATGACAAAATGTTGGAAAAAATTTATTTTTGCACATTGCAGCAAATAGTGCTATTCGGTCAAACGCAACCTGCTGAGCACAACGCGCTGAGTTTCAGCTCGATTGGTTCAATAGTTCGTGAGATATGACAAAATTTTGGAAAAAACTTATTCTTGCACATTGCAGCAAATAGTGCTATTCGGTCAAACGCAACCTGCTGAGCACAACGCGCTGAGTTTCAGCCTCGATTGGTTCAATAGTTCGTGAGATATGACAAAATGTTGGAAAAATCTTATTTTTGCACATTGCAGCAAATAGTGCTATTCGGTCAAACGCAACCTGCTGAGCACAACTCGCTGAGTGTCAGCTCGATTGGTTCAATAGTTCGTGAGATATGACAAAATGTTGGAAAAAACTTATTTTTGCACATTGCAGCAAATAGTGCTATTCGGTCAAACACAACCTGCTGGGCACAACGCGCTGCGTTTCAGCTCGATTGGTTCAATAGTTCGTGAGATATGACAAAATGTTGGAAAAAACTTATTTTTGCACATTGCAGCAACTAGTGCTATCCGGTCAAACGCAAACTGCTGAGCACAACGCGCTGAGTTTCAGCTCGATTGGCTCAATAGTTCGTGAGATATGACAAAATGTTGGAAAAAACTTATTTTTGCACATTGCAGCAAATAGGGCTATTCGGTCAAACGCAACCTGCTGAGCACAACGCGCTGAGTTTCAGCTCGATTGGTTCAATAGTTCGTGAGATATGACAAAATGTTGGAAAAAACTTATTTTTGCACATTGCAGCAAATAGTGCTATTCGGTCAAACGCAACCTGCTGAGAAAACGCGATGAGTTTAAACTCGATTGGTTCAATAGCTCGTGAGATATGACAAAATGTTGGAAAAAACTTATTTTTGCAAATTGCAGCAAATAGTGCTATTCGGTCAAACGCAACCTGCTGAGCACAACGCGCTGAGTTTCAGCTCGATTGGTTCAATAGTTCGTGAGATATGACAAAATGTTGGAAAAAACTTATTTTTGCACATTGCTGCAAATAGTGCTATTCGGTCAAACGCAACCTGTTGAGGACAACGCGCTGAGTTTCAACTCGATTGGTTCAATAGTTCGTGAGATGTGACAAAATGTTGGAAAAAACTTATTTTTGCACATTGCTGCAAATAGTGCTCTTCGGTCAAACGCAACCTGTTGAGGACAACGCGCTGAGTTTCAACTCGATTGGTTCAATAGTTCGTGAGATATGACAAAATGTTGGAAAAAACTTATTTTTGCACATTGCAGCAAATAGTGCTATTCGGTCAAACGTAACCTGTTGAGCACAACGCGCTGAGTTTCAGCTCGATTGGTTCAATAGTTCGTGAGATATGACAAAATGTTGGAAAAAAATATTTTTGCACTTTGCAGCAAATAGTGCTATTCGGTAAAACGCAATCTGCTGAGAACAACGCGCTGAGTTTCAGCTCGATTGCTTCAATAGTTCGTGAGATATGACAAAATGTTGGAAAAAACTTATTTTTGCACATTGCTGCAAATAGTGCTATTCGGTCAAACGCAACCTGCTGAGCAGAACGCGCTGAGTTTCAGCTCGATTGGTTCAATAGTTCGTGAGATATGACAAAATGTTGGGAAAAACTTATTTTCGCACATTGCAGCAAATAGTGCTATTCCGTCAAACGCAACCTGTTGAGCACAACGCGCTGAGTTTCAGCTCGATTGGTTCAATAGTTCGTGAGATATGACAAAATGTTGGAAAAAACTTATTTTTGCACATTGCTGCAAATAGTCCTATTCGGTCAAACGCAACCTGCTGAGCACAACGCGCTGAGTTTCAGCTCGATTGGTTCAATAGTTCGAGAGATATGACAAATTGTTGGAAAAAACTTATTTTTGCACATTGCAGCAAATAGTGCTATT